CCAACTGAGCCATCAAGTTTATGACGTGTCTGTTGATAGATGCACCCACGACGCTCATACAACGGGTTGACAAAGTAGATTCACGAAAACAGTGATGTACCTCGCCCACACTAACTGGATAGAGTCACGTCCCCACGGGTTGTGATTAGACTCATTTCACTAGGATGGCACAATGAAACGGGAGAGTGACGTGGAAAATTCGAGAAATAGGACGAACATAAGCCAACTCCATTTAATTTGTCAGAATCACCCGGTGAATTAACTTTTTAATTAAACTCCATTTTTTTACATTTTATTCTACTTCTCGCGGTAATTAATGAAACCATTCGTCTCGCTTTACAATAGTTAGTTATAGTTAGTCTTCACTCGGGTAAAAATGGATCGATTGCTTTATTTTATTTTTCGAATTACTATCAGAGGTCTTGTGGGAATCAGCCAGAGGTTCACAGCTTTCCAAAGTGGTAAGGTACATTCAGAGTTGAATGCAAATAGTATAGCTGCCATTCTGGAGAATTCTGGAAACTTTGGGAAATCGTCTCCAACATTAATCCTTTCTCCCGAAGTTTAAGACCTGGGGAATTATTAAATTCTACTCGTTACAAAGTTCAATGAAAGTAGTCGTGAAGCAGATGGAGATTATTCCCCAATGCATGAGGAAATATCAAAAAATTTCAGTTAAAAATTGAAAAATTTCAAGTGAATTAAATTCCTTCTCTATTTTAGACCCTCGGCGTCTCCAGTTTCATGGAGTTTGCGGTGTGCAGTGTAAAAAGTGGGGAACAACAACGGAATATGAACAGGAAGGATGTTGGATAGACAAAGTCCTTCTTTTTCTCTCAAGAAAAGGGGAAGCATTTCCACTCGTTGACTCAGATGTAATCTCCGTTTCGGTTAGAGTGAGTTGGGCGTCTGTGCGCCGTTTCCGATCAATCTCTTCAAGGACTAGACTCTCGGGTAGATGGGTAAGTTGGAATAAAATGGGAGATGGTGATAGGAAATATGATAGTTTAGTGCAGCACCGAAAGAAAGATATGGACTAGGATATAGGAATGGGAATTGTAAAGTCATTGGAAATTTTATGAAAAGAGTCGAGAGGGATTGATAACGCGAATATTGAGTACAAGGACGTGGCGGGAATTTTTCCTCCCAAATGGCAAAAAAAAATACAAATATTCATTTTTAAATTCAATCGTTTGGTTCAATTTTATTTTTCATCCCTAGGAATTGCGGTCAATGATTATATAAAATCAGGATAACCATCTCAGATACTGCGTTGTATCTAATATGCAATAATTATGATTCTCCTTAATATTAATCGTAACGTTATCGTTATTATTGTTGGTATGATTATTCTTGCTATCGGTAGCATAAACTTTGATAATTCATTACCTATCACTTATGATAAATTTATGAGATTTTTCTCATTCGTGAGAACCTCTGAGGATGACGGGAATAATTCTCTGGTGTCTACCTCGAAAAAAATTTTTTGGGAATTTAGAACCCAGGAGTGCACCAACCCTGAAGTAATGCCGAAGTTCAACCCATTTTTTTTTTTTCATCATTTTTTAAAATAACTTCAAGGGGTTGGAGAGAGAAAATAATCTGGGTTATATGAAGTTCTGATGTTGTGAATCGTCCTTCCGGAAATCCTTGGGGAATCTTTAGAACACGGAAAGCCACTCGGGACTCGATATTAAAAATAAAAGAATAAGTTATACTTTATTGAATTCAGCAATGACTTCCCGATTATCGATTTACGCCGAGAAATATCGATTTGAGGTGAAAACATCGATAAACTTTTTTGTAGGCAATTCAATTCCCAGTAAAAAATATCTTTTGATGTTTCTCCGTAAAATCAATATTTCTGGACAATTACATCCTCTGAATATCGACCCGTAAAGTGCATCTCACTCCTGTGTTCTTCATCTCCTCGTTTGTTTATATAAATAATTATTCATAAAGCTCTATTCCTATTTGGATACGTAAAAATGAATGAAAAAATATTGTGAATTCGATTTAATGATTTTTGCTCATTTATCAACGATCCTCTGCATTTAGACCAGCTAAATATTGAGGTGGGGACTGTTTTTTAATCTTATCATTAACATTTTTCATATTTTTCCTTACGCAAAGGCATCAACTACATTGAGTAATCATTGATTACAAATAATAGCAATCTTTCCATTAACTTTAGCTCATTGCAACGTACACTCTTCGCATGCTTGAGTTATTCTCAAAAAAATAAATTAACAAGTCAGCGATTTCTCTTATCACCAGTGAAACTAGTACTTTATCTCTGGATATTTATTCTCCGCTGGTAAATATTCTTGCTAAATTCACTTGTTCCTGTTTAAAAAGCATTTTCATCGTTAATAAAAAAAAATTTAACAAAAAATTGTTATTGCACCTATGTACACAATCTTCAACAGTAGAAATCACAAATTATGCACTTAATTATCGTATAAAATTAGTAATACATATTTCATGAACATTAATAGTACAATTTGTCAATAATCTAGTAGATTTTACCGTACTACATTAGTTTTTTTTTTTATAAAACATTTTATTCGTCTTCGCGGCTTTTTATGAAAATTAGGTTCAGCTCGTTAAATTTATTCGCCTATTTAAACGAACTATAATTCAAATAAATACCAGACAATTTCGTCTTCATGTCTTCAATTTTTCTACTCATATTACAATTCCATTGAAATATACCCAATTTTATTTGTTTATTGATTAAATTATCAGTCCTAATTAAACTTAATCTGGATATAATATAATAATCGACGAGCCCTAAAATTTCGATTCCTTCGAAGCCTGGCAGTGCCTATATATAAATACCTGATTAGTGTAATTTCGCTGTAATTAAATATTGCGTTGAAAGTGTGCGCGTAAATAAGTGGAAAATATGCATTTGGTCGATTGTTAACGCGAGTAAAAACTCAAAAAATAAATTCATGTTGTCGACAATTGATTCACGTTCAATCAATTCACATCAATCTTCGTGTGATAATTCCAAATGTTTAAGGACAAGACAAACAAATGCACTAGAAGTGAATTAGTGAAACTATCGTGTGGAAGAACGGCAGTGTAATATGTCGTCAAGCAATCAAGAGCAAATAGTGACTCTATTAAAGTAACTGAGAGTAAAATATTGAATCACCACGGGGCATATTTATTTCTGCAATTTAGGCCACGAGTTACTTAAGCTTAAAAAGCAATTGAAAAATGAGAGGTACAAGGCAGTATCTCATAGAAATTAAATCAATAATACTATCTTACAAAATCAATCGATTAAATCAATCATAAATTCACAATATCGCAATTATTTCTCACCGGTTGATCAATGGCTTAATGAAAATCATTTTTTTTTTTGGTTCGTTATTCATTTTTTAATTTTCATTTTTTTTTTTCGGTTTAAATCACAAAATCTATTTTATTTTTCATGTCAAGGTATTGAGACGTCTAGAGTATTTGCGAGCCTTTCGGAGCCTTTCCGAGCCTTTCCGAGCCTTTCCGAAGTCTCGAGAATTCTTCAATGTCAGTAATGAAGTTCTTTCTCTGTCCTTGAAATTCTTTACCGTGTACATTTTAAAATTCAATATAATTCTCGTCGAATCTAATGATCTAGTTCCAGCTGGTGGGAATTATTTGTCAGTCTATTAAATTCACTACATCCCATTAAAATACGCTCTCAATTATCAAATAATAATTACAATTAATCAACTAGTAAGTCTACATTTCAATTCTCACTGGTTCTTCCTACTTGAGGCAGGAAATTAATTAATAATAAAATCTCAATCGAATTTCAGCTGCTAATTGAGGAAATAAAATGCATCCGAATATTTTTAATCGATCAATTTGAATTTTAAAGCTCTTTCCAGTCAAACAATTTATTTATATATATCCATATATATTTCCTCCACTGACTGCGTCAGTACGATATGTTTTTAATTATTATATCGAATTTAACGTCTGATAATCCGGAGAAATAAAAATATCAAAATAATACAATTCGCGTAATCCGCAATGGGAAATGGTTGTCCAGAAATTGAAATAAAAATCGAGACATTTTTTATTGAATTCCACTTCCCCGCGGATAAATCTCTATTAAATTTCTCTCTCCGTTCGTCGAAATAATTTTAATCTATCAAATTATCGGTATGACGGAATAATCTTAATTAATTAATCACATGATGACTGACTGATTGAATTTAAATGGACAATATATTAAATCGGATGTGAGGGGGTGAAAAAAAAATGGAGTTTCGTACAAACTTCTCGTTCGTTTAATACCAGTTTTACGTCCAGCGTAAATTCATTCTCCCGGTGGTCGATTTCGTGGTTTTGGCAATGTTCCATTTTTTTAAAACCTCCTCGTTACCTATCCAGTAGTATTGGGCTGCATAAAATATCAGGATTTCAATACCGCAATCTCACTGATTCGAATTCCATATCAATAACAATTCCTACATTATTCTCAATATGAATAACAAGAGCTTTTTTTTTTATCTGAAAATACCTGGATCGTGTCATTCTCTCGAGACGAATTCATCTTGTTTCGAGTATCGATATCCGTGTTTATTGATTATTCAAATCAATACCATTGGAAATTTTCGCACAATCGAGTTAACAAGGTCTGTTAATGGCTAATCTGATTCCCTCCATGGATTATCGATTCAACCTGACACATCAAACTAATTGCCACTTTCAATCATCCCCTAACGATATTTCTCCGTTTGATTTTAACTCTTGTATGAAATCTTTGAATGGCGAGTGAAAATGAGAAATGAGAAATAATATCGATGATATCACGTTTGCAATATTGTGATACATTGCTCTCACGTTTTTCTATTATATCTCCCCTCCATTTCGCGTTAAAATACATCCAGATAAAAATGAAAAAAAAAAAAAAAAAAATCCTCGAAGCCAAAACCAAAAAAAAAAAGAAATGAAAAATTTTTGGATAAATTGCACTATAAAATTGCTATTGAATAAAAATCATTCTGTCGATTATATTATAAATATCACCCTTTTTATCAGACTGGCAATTTGTTGTCAAGTTGTTTTTCATTAGTTTTCATTAGTTTTTAATTAAGGGCTCATGTGGAAGACGGGCTTAACGAGCGGCCAGCCGCAAACCACTGAATTCCCCTCAACTTTTTCCCTCCATCGGAATAACTCAAAGACTAATTCGATAATCAATCAAACAATGAGTGTCTTGATTGGATCAATCACCCAAATATCTTCATGACAAATAAATGATTTGACTATAAATCGATGATGCCACCTAGAGATCCGACTGAGATGTTGCTAAGGTACTCTCAGCCGTTTCCTCCCGACGTCATAAAGGTCTTGTCACTTCACCGCATTCGCAATGAACAGGATGACCCCTTCGATCCACACGATTGCTTATGGAGTGATCACTGCAATTAAAATAACAAACAAAAATGGTGAGTGATTTTTTAATAATTTAATATTAACATTTACTGGAGTAATCTACCGTAAAACAGGGATTTATCATACGAATCGGTTTATGTGTTTTGAATCTTGAGGTTGTGAGTGGTCAATTAAGGATAGCTCATGGGAAATTGATAAATATTAAAGTGATAATCATTAATTTATGAATACCTACATTTATTACTATAGAGCTGGAAAATTACTGAACAGTCCATTATGCTGCCGTCGAGAGTTTCTGAAGTATACTTTAATCTACATAACATTATCACCTCCGTAACGTCAGAGCTTGGTACAAAGTCGCCCTGATGAATTATTGAAATTTTTATGAGGAGATTTAACTTGAAAAATCTTCAGAGTGGATCACTCCCACGAGATAAATGCTCTCCCCACGGCAATTTTATTTTTTTCATTAACCAGAAAAATTCACCTTGATATTTTTTCAATCGGTATTCATGAAGTATTCATTATTTTTGGATAAATTTTCGAAGAGTGTGGGGAGGAGATTCGTATCAGTGAGATAAATATCTGAAATATTTCAGGAGAGAAATTTCCACATCAGATCCAGCCATTCTCATGAAATACTGATGCGAATTGGGGACACGGAAAAATCACTGAGTAAACCTCATTTACTGCAACTACAACTTGACAGATGAGAAATAAAGGGGAATTTCCAGTCGTGCCTGTTACTTTTACAAATAAAATGCTATTCTCCCAGCGATATCCTAACATGAAGAATAGATTTTTTAAAAATTACTTTCCATCAATTTTATGCTCTCTATAATTCCTGTAAACAAACGAGAATAATTTATGCGAATGTACTTTCTCTTTGATGATCGGAGATGTATTGAGTACTAGAACAAAAATTGCAGACGTTAAGAACTTTAAATTCTGGCGAATGGCCAAAACCAAAAGGTCAACACACAGGCTAACTTTTTACGTGGATATATTCCCGTTAGAAATGTTCTTTTCAATGCTTTCAAAGGCTGAACTCGTTAGTTCATTCGTGTTTGGCAGAATGACCAGAACAGGTCTCCAGGGGCTGGTGGAAAAATAGAAAAAGCCCATAGGGAATAATAATGTTTCCATCGAGTTAACTATTACATGTTTTAGAATATAATCATTCCAATTGTTCCACAATCCTATTATTTTTCACTTTATTGTTCTCGTTTTTGTAACGATTCTCAAACGATCTTTAGTGCAATTTTTCCTCGCGGTGTATTACCCCCGAAAAATTATGTTCTGCGGTGAGATAAATTAAGGTATCCAGAGCCTTTGACCCTGATGTAATAGCACTTCGGGGTCACGCAACTCTGAATCACGAACTGCTGAAGCATAAGTTTGTGTCACGATAAAAAAAAATCTTGATAAAAGAAATTTTGAATGCCTTCATGTTCCATCGAATTTCTAGAAAGCACGCTGCCGAGCTTTTAGTCTAATAATAAATATCACTAACGTGAAATCTCATTCATAATAAAACTGAGATTGTGTGTCATCACACTTAATCGATTGATCAATAGCACGAGACAGAATTCATTGAAAACAAATATAAATACGATTTTATATCATGAACGGCAAATTTTCTGACAGTTCGGAAAAATGAATTGGGGAAAAGTTTGAGAGTTCAATTGATTCTGTGGGAAAAACCCGGCGAATGGAGAATACAATGTGAGAAGTTGGAGACCATGAAAAATATTCTGAGCAAACTCTCCTCGAGGTTTTTTTTTTTTCCTCCTAACATTCGAGGATTGGAGCCCCTGGGGAACGCCAAAAATATATTCTCCATCATTTTTATTCGCGAGACAGGTAAATTGAGCGGCAAAACTCATTGCTCTCCCCTAGACCTGTCGGCAATTGTGATTGATTGAAAACTAAATTCTGTCAATTCGCTAACTATAGAAATAAAACCGAAGAAAAAAGAATGAGGCGCATGAGATTGACTGAATTATAAACAAAATTATTCTGAAGAATTATTCATTAATTTCTTCTATCAAATTTCTATACGCAGAGCTATACAAAATTAATCATCATCAATCATCATTATTCCCTGCGTTTATTTCCGGTATTTCAGGGACTTGACGAATATTGAAATGAGACGGGAATTAAACGCGAGGAGCAACTTCAATATTTACATAATTCTATATCGCTCTGTTAATTTATTCCATGTTGAAATACGCCAGTAGGAATTTAATAGAAATTTCCACTAACATTTCAACGATAACTCCATTTTCCATCATTTTTTTTTCATTCAAAACTTTTTTATTATTCCCATAGCTTTCACATGACACTGATTTGATTTAAAAACTTCCCATCATTATTATTCCGCCAATGAAATAAATCCCCCATTCGAGTGAAAATTTTTATTCAATTATCTAGTTGGAAAAAATTTATTTGCCTTTCGTCACTTAATTTTCAAATGAAATTCCATCGGAGTAATAATTCGCGATCGTTACCGACGACGAGTTCACCCCGTCGGTAATTCCACTATTCCAGACAGGGGAATCCCCGATTTTTCTGTCCCTCAACGGATCGAGGAATTTCATTCTAATCCCAAAATCTATTGCCCATTTTTAAGACACGAGATTCTCATCTGAGAATTATTTTGTCTCTATATAATAATAAATCGAGAGGATTGAATTTTTTTCATGATGGAAGTCCTAGAGTGTATGTCCTCTTGTGGTTTGACGGAGTTCCAGGGGATCCACTCGGTGTCAACAAACGCGAGGCTATCGAGATGATCGATAAACTGATTTCTGTGTCGGCTGTGAACGCCACGAGCAACATTGACCTACAGTCACACAAGCACAACCCTGCAGCTACACAAATTCACCTCCAGGTAATGAATTATGTCAATACGATGCAGCATTTGTGCCCTGCGAGGAGACGATGATACACCTATGAAGCGTTTGCATCCGGGACTCTCGAGAGAACCTTGAAGGTGTTGGATTACCAGAAATTCAGTCTCTTTCTGAGGGAAATGAGATTATCTAAAGACCATAAAGGACCGTTTCCATAAAGAGAGAGCCTCTGGAGAGATGGAATCTGCAGCTCAATCCCTTTCTTCATGTACTCAACTGTTGATCTTCAATTCATTCCTGATGATGTGGTATGTGCAACTCATGTGATTGATTATGTTGGGAAAATCAGCGAAGGAGGAGTGATTTGAGGGGCAGAATTGTGGCAATAGCTGATGACAAAGAAATTTGGAATTTGATATCACTGAGATGATGAGGAAGTTGACTGGCGATATGCTGAGGACTGGAAATTGTTTGCGATGGGAATATTTCATAAATACGAGGAGAGACCGCAGGCATTGGAGATCGTAGCTCTGACGCAATTCGTTTCTCATTACGGATCTATTGGAATGTTAGAAATAAATACCTGAAGAGGAAGGAAGCCGCTGTTATAAGGTACCGAAATTATGATAGGGGAAATGGATGAGCACAAAAGAGAGATGACACTGCATTTTCCTTTTCGTTCTGAGCAGTGGCGGATTCTCCTTGATAACAAGTTTGTCGAGCTTTTTGATGAGAACGAAGAGAAACTGTTTGAGAAGAATTTGAATGGCAAAGGGATGATTGATATTTGCCAAGATATTTTTAATGAGGGTAAACAGATCTCCAATTATATCATAAACGCCAAGTGAATTTTAGTTGATAGAAAAGTTCAGAGGGCTGGCACTGCACTTTCAAATAAAAAAGCAAATGTTACTGGAGGAATTGATGGATCGATGAGTTCAATTTGAGAACAACTCTCCAGGGTCCAACTGTATCCATTCGAGCTGGAGAGGATTGGACGGGTTTGGAATGGTTCCAAGTAATAATCATCACCGAAATTAGGATGATCAGCGAAGATCCAGTAACTCAAACTTTTTTTTTGTCTTTAGACGATGAGTTCACTTGGATCGCGACTAAAGACCAATTTCGAGCAGAGTAATAACCACTTCTGAAAAATTGGAGACGAGTGCTTCAGATGTCAGAGGTATGTGTTAAATTATTGGAATATCAACTCATATTATTCCTGCGTTTCCAAAATTCCATCAAATAGAGTACACGAGGTAATGAATTCCTTAAGGCACTGGATTGAGCTTTAATTATAAATCACCTGAGAGACGCGAATAGATTAATCCACTATTCCGTCGACTCGACCTTTGAAAGGGAGTGCGATTCAAGTCATGCACGATAACGGAAACCACCTGGACCTTTTTATGGACCAGGAAATTTCCTGCGAGGGTCATTGATGCTTTTGTGTTATATTATTAGATGGGATGAAAAGCCTCGACTGCAATTGGTGGCTGAAAGCCTGACATCTTGAGATCTATTGATATTAGAGAAAGACCTCTGATTTCTTCGTGGATGACGTTCTAATAAAAGCCAGAAGGTTGCCTCGACGGAAGTATAAATTCCATTTATATTTCACTCCGCGAACAATCTATTCCAACAATTCAACCGTCTAGAAATTAATTTTCACCTCCTCGATTATCAAATTTTATCATGTAATTATCACTGTATCGATACATCAATTTGGATTATCAGTTGTAAAAAAAAAGGAGTTGAATAAATCTGAAACATGAGACTCTAACTTCTGTAACAATTTTATATGCACTAGATTCTATCTGAGAAGTTCGATAAATAGCGTTAGAAGTTCTTCAGTTCCGAGGAAGTTTTTTAACAGTGATTACTCTGGCAACTGGTTTTTGCCATCTCCCGAAAAATCAATGGTAAAAAAAGTGGATTGAGTCGATTGTAAACACAACTGGGCATCATTGCATTGAACAGAGCGTGCGTTCGACTTCTACTCAGTGCAATATTAAACTTTCGAAGTATTGATGAGGCAAATGAGTTCAATATTAAGTTTAAAACTCGTTACGCTAGTTTTTCAATGATAATGGAAATGAGGAAAGCAATAAGGGGAACTTGTCGAAAGCACAAGCTGTGGAATAAACTTCAGCCGTTAATTAAATTATTGTGCATTGAATTTCGCGCAAAGATTTCGCGCAAATGATTTTTTTTTCTAGTAATAAATTAAATCTACCGATTAAACACGTGATGGGGTATTTTTTTGAATAAACAAATGTCAAATGACAAGGAATAATGATAATTACGGTAATTAGAGCGTAAAGGACTAGCGATAATGATGATAACTATTTCCCTCGGGTTTATTAATAAATACTGTGTAGAACCTTGACATTGATAGGACTATCGTCGAGATATAATAGAAGAGAAAAATAAAATAGCCCTGGGGATTTGATTTCCAGATTTATTTGAATTTCAGGTTGGCGTATCAATAATAATAAATGCCACTGGCGGAAATAATAATATCCAAAGTTGCAAACATGTAAGGTCAAGTGAAACTTTGATAACGATTTTTTTTTTTCGTCGCAAGGACAGAAGGAAAAAGTTTTAGTTCTTTCGTCAATACTTGGATTGTTCATACATCCGCCCTTCGGATAATTATGGGGTAAGTCCCAACAGAAAGGGCAGGTGATAGAGTTTTTCAAGTGAAAAATAGATTGAATGTTTGAATGTTTTATCCTTCGATTAATTCGAGGGAGAAAATCATTACAGAGTAATTAATTAATTAATTAATGCGAATAGAACAATCTACCGATGTCCATTATTTTACGCTAGAATGGGTTCAGCAATTGGATTGTTATTTGTTGTAACAATTTTCTATTTATCTCAAAGGATTAAAATATCAGACTCGGTTGATTCAGTTCTCCGTGCGGTGTGGAATAAATTGATAAAAAAAAAACTGGCACAGAGAGAAATGGCAGGATGATGTGTTTACTTCGGATGATATATATCTCCAGGACAGCTGGTGATATCGTAAAACAGAATCCCTCTGGAGGCTTTAATAAAGTGCATGAAAGCATGTTTTCGATTATAAAAATCATTCCTGGAAAACATGAGTGGTAATGGAAAACTCCGGAACATAAAACAAAATTTTTTCATTTCAATCTTCAAAAGAATTCGTAATTAAAACGATAACGAATAAAAATAAATCCATAAAAATAATCCTAAGGATTTGATGAATAATTTTTTTATTTGAAAAGTCTAGGCATCCATTTCCGGCGCTGGTTCCTTAATTTTCATGAATCAGGAAAATGTAAGGCACGTTTTGACATCTGCAGAGTAATGCTACACCAGAAGTTACAACTTTATATCGAATTTCACTCTATGTAGGACAAGTTCATTCAGCAACCTGGTAAGTTTAACTAGAGTATAATGTACGTAAGTTTTCAACATAATTATATCACCCCCTCTTCGAGAGTTGCAAAAGCATTTCCATCAGAAGTTGGACAAAACATCTACACAAAGGAGTGAATATATTTTTTCACTCGTGATGTCAATTCATTTTACATTCCACAAATAATAATTTATTCATTTCCTTGTACCAGTCAATTAATTAATAATAATGGCTTTTGTAAATATTGTTATTTGAAAAGGGGATTGATTGTTGTTTTTTTTTTATAAAAAATAATATTCCAATATTTCGTTCCAATAAATTGGAATAACCCGCGGGTCCAGGCAATCCGTTCATTTCAATCGATTGAATCGATTTGGAACTGCGATTGAAGCAACTCTCAAAGTTGAAGTCTCATTATTCCATTCGCTTTAACATTGTCCCAATTCCTTTCAATGGAACTCCGATAAATTTTATCGACATTGCATTATCTCCCAACGTCGAAGGTTCAATAATCAAAGTGAAATTCCGTGAGTGCGACATAAGTGGATATTTTATATCCCCATTTTTTCCAATCAATCCTTAATTGCAAAATAAATCACGTGATAACTATTTCAAAGAGGAATTCCTTTAGCTGAAACTCGGAATAATCTCGAAGGATTATTTCATCTTTTCGATGAGAATTCAAAAAATAATCCTTGAAATATCTATAAATAATTTTATGTAATAGATATGTAAGGGTCCAGTGTATGAATCGGAGTTTCCCAACTATCCACAGGTGTCCCCGATTTCAGGGGAAAGCTATTCGTTTTTAAATGGTGATATCCTCTCGTGTGATGAAAAAACCGGAAACGATGAGGTGCCAAGCCCTCGACAATATCCTAATTACAGTACATTCGATAAATACCCGAAAATTTCATTTGAATAAATTTTACATTGAACCGCGACAGCAATCGGGATAGAAAAATACACCCATGAATTTGTCATTACATATTTAATTCCAACCGAGGCCTTTGAAGATGAGAAATGGCCCTCGGGCTTTGATGGTAAAAATTCTCAATGAAAAAAAAAATATTGAAGCTTCATCGCTCATTCTCTTCCTTTTCTCCTCTTTACCTTCATTTTATAAACTCGCTTGAAAGTTGTTTCTTCACATTTACTCTTTTGGTATGGATATAAGCACCGTTGGAGTGCATGTACTTTTCCACGCGATCATAACTACCAAGGGTTTACGAAATACGTGCTTGCCTCTCTTAATTACAAGATATAACAACGCGATTTGCTAAATGGTTGCTACGAAAGTTTCGTACCGTCAGTGCCTGCAAATAACTGAATCTACATTAAAATTCCGACTGCATTTGAATTTCTGAGATTTTAAATATTTTTATTCATTGAATTTATTGATAAGATAAACCAATATAATCTCTTTCTTCTCTCCTTTTTATTCTTTTTATTCTTTTTATCCCTATTCAACGAAATCCACCGTGTGATCTACTTCTTAATCCAAACTTTTCCCCCCTAAATTGAATTGTCAGTCTAGCAGGTTTGGAATTCAAACACAATCCTATCTAAAATATCTGGAGTAGAAAATGTACGAAACTGGAGCATCACGTCGTTCTACCTCAATTCCAGAAGTAATCACAGACTCAATTCCGAAAAAAAAAAAGTATCAATTTACTCTCGTGTGAAATGCACCAGTGGTAATATGCAACATAAAATGAATAAACTCACTGAGTTGTGGAAAACATTCCATTTCACACATTCCCAACATTTTCTCCCCCATTGTCTCAAATTTTATTAATTTCTCCGATATTTATTTTCTTTTTCCTCTGCTTTCATAACTCAATAGTGATGAGGTGAGTGTTACTCCAGAAAAAGTTTGAGTATAAAAGAAAAAGAGAGGGATTTCAATTAAAACTTGCTTTATTCAACGTAATTATTATTTTTTATTATCAATTTTAAAAGAAGATTAAAGATTCACTTAACAATATTTACCCCATAATATCACAGTATCAAAGTTCTCCATTTTTTATCCAGAAATAAATCAACCGATAATTATTGCACCCAGAAAAATCGTTTACACCAAATCACAACATTTAAAATAAAATCCTGAATAATTGAATTGATAAGATAAATTATTTATCCGTGTGGGATGAATGGATTGAGCAAATAAAGGATTTCCGGTCCACCGAGTCTATCCCACGAGAATTACCGATACAAAATCGATAAAAATTCCATATCAATCACCAAATCATGACAATTGCAAAAAAAATAAATAAATAAATAAAGTTGATAGCAGTCTAATGGCGTCAAAGCAATGGCTAGGGAAGAAGCACAGGATTAATCCGTTATCGAAAATTTTCGTTGATGCACCTGACATGCACTTGCACCTGGTGTATTTATCACTTTACCTTAAATCGTTCATCCTGGTTCTTCTCATTCCTCGTGAATGATGAGGTGGTGGTGCTACACATCTGCAGTCACAGTGCATAACACAAAGTGCAACACTCGTTGCTAGTGTTACAACGAATGGCGCAGCGAGGAAGTGCAGTATTGTTTCGAGCTGAGCTTGACGATTATAGTTTGCCATCACTATGCTACCATTAACACGACTGTAATAACATGGAAACTTGGCACCCTCGTAACCAAGCTCACGTGTAAAGTTTTCACAATCGACAATTGGTGGATAACCACAGCCCTTGATGTTCACCTTGAGTATCGCCTCGACATCGCCCGACGCACCTGCAATCAGAAACAATTTTGATAATTAACGATTCATTGATTACGCCGGCTTCCTCGAAGTTATTACAATGTAAATCAGCAAATTAGTGCTACCTATCCTAAAGGGCGGTAAAAACGTCATTATTACTCTGGTGAGTCACTGCCTCACCTAGTGGTCATCGATCTTTTTTTGTTGTTAGGTCATTCTGTGCCACGACATATAACACTATTTATCGTGGGAATAATAATAAATATAATCCTGTTCTTTTTTACTTCATTCGTTTTATTCAGCAATGATGAGAAAATACCGTTGATGAGCTTTCGATTCAATTAACCGATGCAAATATCTTTCTTTTTGAAATTAAGGCAATTACAAATTGAATGGTACTGGAGGATAACGGATTAAATTGGATGTAAACTCTTGAATAATCCGGTGATTATCTGGAAAGTAGAAGTGGTGGAATGAAATGTGAGACTTTCTCAATGAAATCCCCTTGGGGTTGAGGAAACTATCCCCAATGAATCTGTCCACTAGTTCATTTTGAAATTTTCCTTCATTTACCGTCACATTTCCGTCTTCAAAATAGTTTATTGTAACTTGAACGGTTCTATAATTTCCCTAAATAATTATCATTTGCAATCCATAAATTATTGTTCATGTTAATTAATAATTTCATGATGAAAATGTATTCTCACCGGGTGTTGGAGTCTCGGTGGTGGTTTGAATCACTCCGTTCGCCATCCGATGTCTTCCAACAAATGATTCATTTCCCCATCCACTGTCATTCCTCCACGGTGTGTACGTCACGTAAATATGAGTGCATCTGTACACATCACTGGTGCAACCCTCGCGACATGAACTCCAGGTGCAATTAAATATTCCCACGATGTCCTCACGTCTGACTGTTGTGCATTGAACTGGCTCGGGTGAAAAATCAGCAGCTAGTGTACTTATCGCTGGATCAACGTACAGTGGTACTAAAAATAATAATGCTGCACCGCATGATGTTGCAATGAGAGTTAATGCTGATGTTGCATAAAAATTGAACCGCTGTCGGCATGTGCGCCGGGGCGGCCGGCGCCGCGAAGCGCCAAAACCGAGTTCCAACAGTTTGCGACGACGTAATTCTTTTTCCTGTACTTCGTATTTATGATTATTTGATTGGCTGCTCGCGTCAAGCAGTAATTCCGAACTGCTACCGCGCATTAGCAATTTTACCTTAGCCGTTATTTATCTTTTTCTCTCTTGCCAATTTTTCATTGGCGGATTAACGATTGATTAAAATTTTATTCAGTCCTTTGATGGAAAATTTTGGTGGTGAAATTTTTGTTTCTCTCTTGCGTATCGCTTTTTCATTCCTCTCATTTTATTTTTATGAGACACTTGGGGTACTTTTTGTGGCGATGAGAATAGACCATCGGGTAATCACCAGTGGAAACTCACGCACCGTCAATCCCAGGTGTCCGCACATCGCGTTCCGGGCTAGTTGCGGATGATTGAATTTTATGGGAATTGCAGCGGTTTTTGGGGTTTTAATTGCGGAGACGAGCAATTATCGATTTTTGGGAATGTTACGAGGTTCCAGGATGTCGACCCTTTCGTTTCAAATTTTTAGAATTTTTTGTCATCCATTGAAAATTCAATTTTTTAATTTTCTTGCAATTTCCATTTTTACCGCTTGTCACCTTTTATTTTGTTCAGCGGCAATTATCGCCTTCGTACACACTTCAATTTATTTCCAATCTTCAATTTTCTGATTCAATCACCACAAACCAATGATTCCCCAAATATTCGCGGTTCTATTATTTCCCTGGATTAAAAACGCGAAATTTATTTCCACTCGAAATCACTCAACAGCAGAGACAACAATTTTCCCACAGACATTGCATGGCCATAATTGCACTAACAATCCTTAATTACCAATTACTGCCACAATTTAAATAACTCCCAATTATTCCGTGATTTCAAACGAATTATCGAGAGTCAACGAGCGTTGAAATAATAATTACTTCTCTCATTATCCCGAGCGCCTGGGAATATTTGCAAATTTTCCGCTGGAATAATTTTATCTCTTTTCAAAAATGGAAACACCAACTCGCTGATTTATTTTCTCAAAGTCAATCATTAAAAAAAAATAAATATCACTGCAAAATTGACGGGTAAAATTCTGGTACGAGGGCTACTGATACCAGTTGATAAAAATAATGAGGGGAATTAAATAGTTGTGCTCATTGTGATCGCGGCGCGGTTCGCCAGTTAAAGCGCGACTGTCACTGGTGGTTTTCACATTCTTGGAAATAACCTCGCGGATAGGGCGGGGTTCACAATACGCCTGCGTCACCCACCCACCACTGAAAATCATCCCCTTGTTTACGCGCCTCAATCTCACCCCATTGCAAAACCTCTCCCTCTATTCCCTTTCCTGACATTATCATTTTTTAATTGCACCTCATAATTACTCCAATTTCTTTTTTATCCCTTGGCTTGTTTCTTGGTCGTTTTATTTATCACTTGACTTTACCTCTTGCCGTAATTGCATCTCCACTCATTAGATGAAGTGGTGAGATTTTTATTTTCCTGATACAAGCCAAATATTAATATTACCGAAAATTTCCTCTGGGTCCAACATTTTTTTACCCACAACTATTAATTCTAGTTAATCAGTCATTAGTTGGATGAAGTATTTATTCATTTAGCATTTATTAATTCGAGGGAATTAATTAGTATTATCAATTAGGATTGATTTTTCATGTGTATCTCATGGGAATATCAAAGATACGAAAGTTGGAAAAAATTGGCTTGCATTATCGATTGGATTGCATTTAAGTCGCGGGTTTAAAAGTTTGCGCATTGCTGGGGCAAGTCGATTGGTGAGTTTTTTTGTGATAAGTCATGTTTACTTGGAGTAAATGTGAGTACTGAGGGATTTTACACCTTTTGCACGGTTTTCCTTCGGTGTTCTCCTGAGGGGCGACCTTATTTTCACCAGGGATCTGATAGTCCGCCGTTTCGAGGGACAAACAAGTGTTTCGGGAACCGATTTAAGATTTTATTAACGATAACGACTAAATCTACCGTCATATTAAGAGTGGTATTAACTTCTGCCCTCAATCAGCTGCGGGGCCTTCGTAATTCACCGAGAGTTATCTTTTCACAGAGATCTACAGCTGTCAAGACTATTGTTATGCGTTTTATTTATTTTTTTCTTTCGCCACTTTTTTTTTCTTCGACTTTCTTCTACAAAGATCGATTTTCTCAATCTAGATGGAATATTTTATTCTCGGAATAACATTATCCTTTTTTATCAATATTATTGGGATAACAGAAAAATAAAATTGTAATTCCTGAATTACAATTTTATTCTGAAAAGCCATTACAAAATCTTTAAATAAAAACAACTTAAATAATGATATTGTATTTTTTTTATCTTTAAAATAAAAAAAATACAATTATGAAAAAAATAAAATTTCGATTCAATGAATTTTTTTTTTAAATAGGAAAATATAACTTATCGATAGTGGAATTCTACATTATCGATCGATTAAATATTTCCTGCGCCAGGGGCAGCCACAAATGATTTCTGCACAATTACCCATAATTCTCAGTACTGCAGCACAGCCAATGGCATCACAAGATTCTCTCGCTATAACATGATCATTTCTTCTTTTCCGTTTCTCTCGGTGGGCAGACGTCGAAGTGTGAGGATCGTTCATCCTCATTCCGTGTATAATTCTCTGAACAACCGCGGACATTGTGAAAAGTCTTATCGCGTGGCGTCTAATTGATAATTATTCATTTATTAAATCGTTGAGATGGCGACGGAAAACGCGAATAAACCGGATTCAAAACCACCTCAGGAGAATAGCAATGAAAATAATATGAGACTCGGTGGTGGCGGCCAAGGAGGTGGCGGAGGAGGTGGAGGCGGTGGAGGCGGTGGAGGTCAAGGAGGTGGAGGTCGTGGTGGTCGTGGAAGAAAAAATTCACGATTTTCTGGTGGTCGTGGTGGTGGCCAGGGAGGTGGTGGACCCCGCAATGATATGCAGGTAATTATTTTTTTTTGGATATTCCATTCAATACTTCATTACCCTCCCCCTGGCAACAAAGCGTCTGGCGCTACGCCATTTTGAAATACTTTCCATGAAGATTATTCACGGTTTCTCATCGGGAATCGGTTGATTGCTATTCAACCGGTTATTGGGGGTTTTCCGGAATTTTCAGAGGAAAAACTTGAGACGATCGGAAAAATGGAGAGATTACGTAATTTTTGGGTGAAATTTTGAGATTTCGCCATGCGGTGAGCAATCAAAATGGCGGACGTTTATGGATCTAATGGGGGGAGGTGTCGGATTTTTTTTTAATTCTCTAAAAAATGGAATGTTTAATAAAAAAAAAAGTACGGAATTTTTAGAAAATCGGGGAATTGCATAGAATATCGATGATTTTTCAAATTTTACAGGAAAATTTTCATATTTAATTATTCATGATTTCAGATAAAAATGAGTGAGTCTATGATGGAGGGGAACATGATGGACTCCAGCATGATGCAGGATAACAAGGAAAGAATGGGAGGAAATAGCGGACCCATGGGGGGACGTGGTGGTATGCGAGGAGGCGGACGTGGTGGCCGTGGAGGTGGTGGAGACAGGGGAATGCCTAATCGATCTCAAGACGTAAGAATAATTTAAAATTCACCCCAGAAATTTGAATGATTCTAGGATGTAATAATGGAGAACCCCAACGCCACGCTTGCTTGAGTAATTGTTACTCAGCAAGTGCCATATTCAAAAGAATAAATTGGGGAATAGTAAATCCTTTCTAGGAAGCACGATTGCATATTAAATATCTTTACGTGTGCTGAAATACTGGAAACAATTCGGATGTTTTAATAATTTTCGTTTGAATCAATTGGAATAATTTTTTTTTCATCGCAGGACCGAATAATGGAAAAAATCATGAGTCTCAATGGACCGACCTATGATCTTCCCGCTCAGGACACAACAGAGAAGAAATTCAGCGGGAGAAATCGTCTCTACGTGGGAAATCTCACTAATGACATTACTGAGGAAGAGATCAGCAATTTATTCACCCCATTCGGAGAGATCTCGGAATTATTCGTCAACAAGGAGAAGAATTTCGCTTTTCTGCGGATGGTAGATATTTTTAAACATTTCCGTAGTTTTTCTCTCATCGAACATGTGCTCGATTGCACTTTTCACTCGGACTTAATTGGCACTTTCTCTTCTGAGTTATCAAACAACTCTCCCATGAGTTTCCGCGGTATTTTCACAGGAAATCAATTAAAACGAATAGATTTTCGATAAAAAATTTGAAAACTTGTCAAAATGATTAAAAAAATTACCGTTTGATTTATTGTGATGATAATCACTGGCTGCTTTTTTAAAGTTATGATCCAATCGTTAATAATTCAGTTCGTTTAGACATCGAGTGACACAATAATCACGGAATAATTTTTTTTTGCTCTCAGGATTATCGAGCAAATGCAGAGAAAGCAAAACACGAATTGGACGGTATGAAGAGAGGGGCACGAGCGATGAAAGTGAGATTTGCTCCGCACTCTTCAGCGATCAAAGTGAAAAATTTAACGCCACATGTATCAAATGAACTCCTGGAGAAATCATTCAGTGTTTTTGGTGACGTCGAGAGGGCTATTGTGGTAGTCGACGACCGGGGACGTCCCACCGGTGAAGGCATCGTGGAATACACAAAAAAACCATCAGCCCAGAATGCCATTCGTAAATGTACGGAGGGCTGTTACTTCCTCACTGCATCACTGCGACCAGTTGTGGTGGAGCTGTTTGAACAGCAGGACGACGTCGACGGGTATCCAGATAAAAATATTCAAAAGAAACCAGAATTTTATGAGGCCCGGGAGGTCGGTCCACGTTTCGCTCAAATTGGTAGCTTTGAGCATGAGTATGGCACTCGGTGGAAACAGCTCCACGAATTGTACAAACAGAAAGATGAAGCTCTCAAGAGAGAGATGACCATGGAGGAGGAGAAACTCGAGGCACAGATGGAGTTCGCAAGATACGAACATGAAACTGAATTACTTCGTGAACGTAAGTTTATGGAATTTTAATTCATTGAATTAATACCCCAACGCCACGCTTGTTTGAGTAATTATTTACCAGCAAGTGCCATATTCTAAAGAATAAATTGGGGAATAGTAAATCCTTTCTAGGAAGCACGATTGGATATTAAATACCTTTACGTGTGCTGAAATACTGGAAACAATTTATTTTCACAATTTTTATTTCTCTTATGATTTTCATTAATCGGTGAATTCAAATCAATTTACAGAATTGAGGATGAGGGAGGCTGATCGTGAACGCCAGAAACGTGAATGGGAAATGAAGGAACGCCATGCTGAGGAACAGAGATCTCGCGAGGAGGAAGTGAGGAGACGTCAGCAGGAGGAGATGACACTTCGTATTCACAGACAAGAGGAGGAATTACACAGACGTCAGCAGGAGAATAATTTGTTCATGCAGGTTTGTGGAATTTTATTTATCATGTTTCGTCGATCTAGAGATTAATCTGAAATGATTAAAACAATTACCGTTTGATTATTATCATGATAATATTATATGGCTGCTTTTTTAAGTTATGATCAGAAATTGAAAACAATGCTTCGGAATTGAGCAATATTTTTTATGTTAATTGTTCTTAATTAAATTGTTTTCAGGAACAAGCAATGAGAGGAAGTGTCAACAAAAACTACGATGGCGGTCAAAATAATGATCGTGAAGGTTACAATGGTCCAGACGGTAGGAAAATTAATTATCGAAAGTTCAAGTTGTATTTCTAATTATTAATTACTAATTTTGTTATAATTTCTGATTTTTACAGGTGGAAACAACTTGCCAGTGGTAATGTATCCTAAATTATACTCTCATTAATTTCTTTCGGAATATTATCTAACTGAATTTGAATTTTCATTTCTCTTATTTTCTTGAGGACAAATAACTTTTTCTTTTCTCCCTCATATAGTTTATTTCGCCACGAGGCCATTAGGAACTTTTCTGGCGATTGTGAATTTACACAGCGAGGCGAAGCCCAGGAATGTAAACACAATCGTCAGAAAAATTTTTTTCGGCTGAGTGACAAATGATATTTCTTGTTATTCAGTCCGTAGGTAGGGTTTTGCGTTGAAACGTTGCCTCACAGACTGAGTGATGGAAAAAAAAATTAAAGTTCATAATTACTAGCGTATTGATTGCATCCCGAATATAAATGTGCCACAAGATCTCCAACATTTCTTACAGTTGAGATTAAAAGAAAAAGTGCGAGATTATTGAGGTTTAATCTCAAAAAAATGTAGAAGAAAATGACTGATTTTTTCTACGAGATTTTCACAATCGGAGGAAATTCTTTTGCATGACAAATTTTCCTGACAAATAGCTGTAATTATTCTTATAAATTAAGGGATTATTCAACTGTCGATGGATTACTGGTACTACAGAGTTCTAATGTCTGCATTATTGCTGATGAAAATTTAAGAACAATTGAGTCATCTTCTTAATATTAATTGAATTAGAGCACTAACGCATGGAGATATCCTCGAACACTCACTGTCGCCTGTTGATTTTATTTATAAGCTGCGTATGGTGCAAACTCTGAGAGAAAAATGAATAGTAAGGTGACGGTAACGACTACGATTGAATACTTGATAGCAAATAATAATTTTTTTCACGGTGAACGAGAAAAATTTTTAATGACAAAAGTTCGGAATGAATAAAACATCAATTGCATGAGAAAATACAGTAGAATTCCATTATAGTCGCAGCTCTCCTCAATATCTGTTTTCGGTTCCCCCACTCTACTGCCCACAGATACCAAAATCTAAATAATCTATTGGTTCGTCCTGTGAGGAATTCGGGGACAAAATACAGCCGAAAAATAAATTTCTCTCGTATTCGAATTTACTATGAAATAATACAGTTCTCTGCGACTATAACGAAAGTCTACTGTACTTTCTCTTCATACAGAGAGATAAACAAAATCACAAATCTCTGAATCAATTTTTTCCATCTTCAGAATTTTATTTATAAATCCACAGAAATTGCGGACTTGTAACCCCCAAGTGATCGAATTAATCTTCTCATCCATTAAAATCAACTTATTCCTCTTCACCTCTTGCTTAATGAATAAAAAATCAATTCGGACAATTAACAATTTATAATGACAAAATGGAAATGATTCCAAGCGACTGACAACTGTTACCGTCACCTGTATTCACATATTACTGAAAGAAAAGAATCGAGTGAATCCTCGCTGCGAAATTTAATCTAATCCTCGTAAAAACCAACGAACAAGTCCATCAGTCAGCTATCATTGACCTAACCACCCCTAAATATTCAAGATGGCTGCACTAGTGGTACTAAAACATCTCTGGCAACAGAATTTTTAGGTGGGAAGGGATGAAGAAAAAAAGAAATCGTAGAGCAAACGGCTCTGACCTGAGACTTCCCGAAAGTCCTGAATTTCTTGCGATTTTCCATCATTGCGCAGATAAAAAATCCCCCGAGACACACCTATTATATTCTTTCCTCTCTGATAACGAGGCATAATGCTTTTAAAAAAGACCAAAAAATCTCCTCTAAACGAATCCAATCCAAACGAATTAATCGACCCCCATGATTATTCCTCCCTCACTCAATGGGAAAACAAATACTTGAATTATTTCTCTTCGTCACGTGTCTCGAATCGATTACTCCATGTGAATGCAGACAAGAGGCTCTGTTGTGTTTTATGCTTATTATTTCATTCGACAATACGTCTATTGTTGACGTGAAAAATTCTCACAGATTAACAAAGTGCTGGAATAATCACAAAACCATTTTTAGTTGCAAATATTTTGATTTATTCGAAGGATTGGATTTCAGATGAATGAAGGAAAAAATCCTGATCAAATTTTTTCAATCGACATCTGAATTATTCAAACTTCGATATATCCACGGAATAGTAACTAAAAATAACTGAAAAATCGCGACAACTACTGGAATTATCCCCGGAGAGGTAATTCACCCATTTATCGAGAGATATCGAAAAATTAAAGCCTCTCATCTGCTGCTCATTCTCTCCTGACAAATCCACTAATCACTGAACTATTGAAAGCACTTCTTCAATCTGTGAGCATAAAATAAAAAAATACTATCTGACAATAATAAAAATCTGAGAACGAATGATAACTCTGTAAATTAGCGCGGTTTAAAAACCGCGAAAAGTGCTCCACGTAACTCAAATTATTCTAACATTATTTTTTCCCCTTTCTTTTCTATGTGATATGACGAAAATTGAACGATGACTTCTGCTGCTGTCAAACAATGGATGGTCGCCCATAAAAAAAATGTGATGAACCAAAAAAAAAAACACACATGGTGCATAAACCAAAACCGAAAAAAAAATCATAAACTTCGACAATACTCGATAATCATCTATTTAAAAAAAAAATCAAATCAAATCATTTGATTGATAACGAAAAAAAAAATATTCAGGATCCAAAATCATTCATGGATGCATATAACAATATGGACCGCGGTACTCGCGGTGGGGGTTACAATGACGACCGTGGTGGACCGATAATGGATTTGATGGATATGAGGGTTGAGATGGGCAACTTGGGTAATAATCGTGGAAACAGTGGTGGTGGAGGTGGAGGAGGTGGTGTTGGTGGTGGTCGTTGGCAAGGGGCTAACGACAGAAACCGCCAGGAAGATTTTCCTAACAAAAGGAGACGCTACTGAAATCATTAGTATTTTTTATTGTAATTCTTAATCCGACGTAAATAGCCAAACTCAATCCCTCACACCAACTATACAAATTTTCCATGATTTTAATCAGTCAAACTTTAACTCAATCATTTAAATTCGTTAGAGAACAGTAATGTGCATTTTTTTTCCCTTTCTCATTAATTATCAACGACAGATTATTCTAATCCTCTGACCATCGGCAAAACTCAAGGAAAACACTGACTATTTCTGCTTTCGTGTGAAGTACATTTCTATTATCATTTCAGTATCCTTTCGCACAATGAAAGCATATATTTAGGATATATACGTATTCAAGATTATTATTAATTGTATTATTTACAATTATTTATAATGAACTAGAGTTGCCTATACACGACTAAATATCTACCACGAATTTTCACTGATTATTTGGGCTCCCATTATTTTCTCGGTTTATCATTAAATAGATCTTTCAGTTTTTTTTTCCTTTCTCAGATTTATTGAGAACATTTCCGTAAATATAATCGCTAGGCTTTCCACGTCGGTCCATCTCAACTGATTTTTCTCATGCAAATTGATTGAGCGAATTATTTCGTCATTTTTCTCTTACGTAAATTCACTGAAATGATCAAATTATTCGATGTATTTAAGATACTAAGGTATTTGTCTGCGTAATATTTAAAATAAGTGATATGAGGTTGCAGTTGAGCGTTATTTTTTCCGAGGTGAAATGTACCATTGCATATGTGCATTGATATCCTCTATGGATCTGCAATGACATATGGATATGACAGATGTATTGACATTCATAAAAATCAATCCCAGGTTTTCTTTATTCCTATTTCATAATCGAATATAGAAGCCTTAAATGGGAATGTTGATTCTATTGGTCAACATTCGTTAATGTCTGTATGTGTGAAGTATCTTAATCATCTAGTATAATTTTTATTAATAAACATTTTGAAAAGCATTCGTTCACTTGAATGAAACTGTCTATTTAATGATAGAGGTGAGAGGACAAGACATTATTAATTGATTAATTACAGAAAATAAGAGGGGGGGTCTCTTTTCGAAGAAGCGAAATTTATTAATCCCAGAGCTTCCTTTCAATTCAGAATTCATTTCTCCTGCGGAAATTTCACTGTCAATATTATATTTTCAGTCTCAGTTTCGTCCATTCCTATTGCATCATTCTCATTCTGTTTGTTATAGAATGATTTTGGGAATAACTCGTCGAAGACTTGAGTTGTGAACAGATTGTGAGAATCTACGAAATTTATTGAGTTGAATTATTTAAACAATTCTACGATTAAATTGGGAACTATGCTGATTATTTAAAATTGAAACGAGAATTTTTTTTATCTGTTTAAATGAAAAATAATTGTCATTGTTTTTCATTTAATGTGACAGCGAGTCATCGAGGTCTCGTCAGAGGCTGATGACATGTCATGTGAAATCTGTGTATTAAAAAAAATAAATTCACTGAATTCCAGGACCAAATTCTTGACTAATGGAAGAGGCTGGAAAATTTTGGTCAAGCTGTTTTGTAGATTGCCGGACTCTTGAATTCCGATATTTTCTCTTGAAACTGAACTGTCAGTGAACACGAGCTATCGCGTTTGACATTCAAACGATTTATTGATATTGGGGAGGTGGTCTTAAAGGCGTTTGCAATAATCTCCACTAATTGTTAATTATTATGAATTTTAGACAAGATGAATTTGTCCAGTGATCGAACGGATAATTCTCTCAGCAGTTAGATTATTATAATTTACTACACCATCCTTAGGAAGGATCCCTTCCGATGATTTTCATATCACGAAGAAGTCTATCCTTCTCGTGACTGACCTGTTCACCCTGTTACCTGATTTTTATTCTGAAATTGCGTATCATTTTGATGTTCCAATTCTCAACAAGTGAGCTTGAAGCTTCTCCATCGGAATTCAATGGAATAAAAAAATGTTGCAATTGAATCATCTCTGGGGATTGGTTTTATGATAAATGAAAATAGCATAAGTTGGCAGTTTGTACCAAAAACTCACGAATGATTAATCGAACCGAGCATTCTTTAACAACGGAGGAAACAACCACAAGATAAGCTATTCGTTTCTTGAATCCACTAGTCAATGATACTTCTAATCATGAGGTGAGTAGAATGTTGAAAAGAAAATGTTTTTTTAACATTGCATATCATTAACTAAATAAGCTATTTGGGGAGTGGGAATTGATGGAACTTGAACCCTAAGAATGCCAGGATATTAATCACCCAAACTATTTATGCGAGCGATATTCAAAGATTGAATCTAGAGAGAAACAAAGTGTCAGGGGGAATTCATTTTTTTTTGTCTACTTTTTCTGGAATGTTACAAAATCTTTGAGAACAATCGTTATGGATGATTGTATTCTATTGCACGTAATTTCTCTTACTAACGGCCCAGACTTTAAATCTCTACCAGTGACAATCGATATATTTTGAAATACTATTGGATTATGGTTGTCTAGGTTTTTGCTCAATGTAGTTCTGGGCTGTTTTAGGTAATTCGAGTTATCGTAGATATTCATATAAAGTAGACGTGGGTACATAAGAATTTCATAATACGTGGTAATGTGCGGTTATTCAAGAAGACTGTTGTCATGCGTAGAAAATAATCATACAACATTCTTCCGGGTTGTCTTGAGGATGAAAGTGTACTTCAAAAAGAAAGATACACTCATTGAAAAAGTCCATTTCTAAAATAAAAAAAAAACATTATTAGAGTTGGAAACTAATTGAAAGATTCTACAGACAAATATTGAGATGCTTCGAGATTAAAAAAAAATTGTGACGTAATAAAAAATCACGGAAATGCATGTAACATGGCTTTAAAAAATTGTTCAGTTCGTAGAAACAGAATGAAACGTGTTGCAGATAATTTGGAGAAGAAGAATAATTTTAATAATTGTTTAAAACGGCGAGGTGAGGCGTGCCGCCATGTTTGAAGGCCCCTGTGCCGGAGAAGGGTGCATTGAAACAAAATGGCAGCCTCCAGGTTTGAGGACCGCCGAGTATGTTTAAACGGGTGTTAAAATTGTTTATTCACTTCAGATAATGTTAGTCTTGTTAGATTTCTTTCCTCCAAATATTTATTTTTGTCTGCAGAAGCTTTTTAAATATCTTCTTCTCTATTGAATTGCTCAATTATCTCGGTGAGGAATCGCGTTGAAAGAAAGTGGCGACTTCTCGTCGAGCAAGAGATTTCCCACAGAAAGTCTCTTGACTTTTGAATTGTCTTTACGATAATGAATTTATCTCGTAATAACTCGCGATACATAAAAATTCCACATTATCTCTGAACCAACAAAATGAGAAATGTAATTTTCTCGTCTTTCAAGACAATCTCTGTTGACGTATGTGAAATCATATTGAGAATTATTTTCTGGGGGTGGGGGACATGATCTATACAACTTTGACTTCTAGCGAAATTTTCTTATTCGTCGAGCGTCGCGAGTTAATTCTGTCTTGGGAAAATTTAGGAATTCATAACTTATGGATTAATAAATTATCATTCACTTTGGTATCGCATTCTAGATTATTTACTTGGCCGGGAATTAAGATTTTGAAGAACTTGCTATTTAGGAAATGTGGGGAAGGATTGAGGGAATTTTTGCTAATATGTTATTCTGTATTGCAGTGGGTGACAGTTAATGGCTGAATGGAGCTCATTTCAGGCTGAAATTTTGAATTTCTACCGTTGGACTTCCCAAAACCTCTGGCAAGGGCGATCGGAGAACTCACGTTTTCCACGAGGTAAACATAATCGTCAGAAGTTCTTTTCGGTCGAGTGATAAAAAAATAACAATCAAATTCTTTTCAATAAAAAAAACTTATAATGATGATTTCATCTTTCGGGACTGATTCACATTGATGTCAAATATCCCAACGTGTGCTGATAAATAATTATTCAATTTTTTCTAGACTGATGTTTCAATTTAAATTCTTTACCAGTTTCATTTCTTTCTGTTGCAGACTTGAGAGCAGAAATTCGGTAACTGTGTGGGCTGCTGATTTTTTTCCGGTAAATAATGAAAAGATTATTGAATAATATAATTATATGAATAATTATTCAAATTTCTTAATGATGATCCCATCTTTCGGGTCTGATTAACATTGATGTCAAATTTCCCATTGTCACTGAAAATTGCAGAACGTCAGTTCGTTCTCATTGGTGTCTAAAATTTATAATTATTCATAAATATGTTCCCTCATTTCAGAAATTACGACTTCGGAGAGTGCGAGTATTAAGCAGGCGCGGAATTCATGATTATGGTGAGAAATGATTTCTGTAACTGATTATTAAAATAATTCCATGTTTTTCGTATGATGATTATTATCTCCCTTCATGATGATTTTTGGCTAGAGTCCTGAATTAAGGATGACATCCCATTCGTTCAAAATCTGACAGGAAAATTAATAGCAAAAAGAAATGAATGAATTTGTTAAATAAAATTACAATGGATATTGTCACTTGTTGCAGGAACTAGAAATCGAAGGCGCAGGCAAGGAATTTGTCACCTGAATGTAATTGAAATAAATAAAGAATTAATATAATTATATGAAAATTTCATTATTGATTTTTTTCTGTCATTTCCCATTCCATAAAAATTATTTTTTGATTAAAAAAAAGCATGGACTGGAAAGCGTCATGGCGGACAGCGTGTAAAAAGTGTATCGAAGGATGAGTTTTTATCGGAACGTTCATGAGGGCGGGGTACACGTGTGGGATGGCAGATGGCAGTAGATTTGCATGAGAAGAATCAGAATTAAAAAAATGCGGATTTCATCAACGGCGGCGCTAGTTCAGAAAAAAAAAAATAGAATTCCTCCCGCCATCTTGTCGGTAAATTTTTCCACCATTTTGATTTTTCAATCCCAAGCGAATAGAAGCTGCAGATCAGGATCACAGGAACAGGTAAGAGGTAATCCACCATTTTGTCGATGATTTTGTAAAATGGAACTGAAAAAAAAAATAGATACGGTAAAAAGCTTGACAACACTTTATTATTGAATCGCAGAAAAAAGCCGTCGACATGTTTTTCCACTTGAAAAAAAAATACTCCAATTATTCGTTGATAATTAACAGTAAAAAATCATGTACAATTAATAAATTAATTAAATTCATGAGTGTTGTACATAAATATGAAGTTACACGTGTCGCATGTGCCAAAACTGTACAAAAATTATTTCATATATTTTTTTCATTTTTCTCAGTGGCGGTGGCATTTTGTTTATGTTTATTTGCTGTTAGGTGCGTTTTATTAAAGTCTTGTAAAAAAAATTACGTCATTATAATATTTATCTGTGAATCGACTCATCAATTCATTTATCCGATTAAATCAAACGAAATCGAAGTAATGAATATTACATTTTCAAATTTGACATGAAACGCAGTCGAAACAAAATGAATAATTAATTACACGGCCGGAGCGGGTGGAAGGAATGATTTATTGGTGTTTTTTTTTTCTTTTTCATTTCTACTAATTCAATTATTCCCTAAAATTCGACCATTTTGTGATGGAAAAGTGCAACTTTTATGGATTTCATTTTAGCAATTGATTCAGCGCAACGAGCACTCGCCCTTTCACTTTGCAATGCAGCACAGACTAGCAGCAGTGAAAAGATGTTTATTTATTCATTTATTTGTTTATCGACAGCAATTGCATCTGCCGCGGATGAATCATAAATTTTTCGACTGAAATTATCCAGAGGCCGACAGATTTCCGCGAAAAAAAAAATTGCAAAAAGTTTCTGCTGTTTTTTATCATTTTCTCTTGAATTCACTCGTACTCGAGATAATTTTCCCATTCAATAAAAACTTTTTATTTCACCTCTCCGTTTTACGGTTTAACTCCTGAATTATTTCTTAGCAATTTCTCTTCAAAATTCTCACAAAATTCTCCTTTATTTCGGTTAAACGAGACATTTGATTCAATCCTCTATAACTTTGTCATGAGATTTTTTTTTAATTATCTTTGTTTAATCAGCATAAAAATCGTCATGCTGACTCAAGATGAATGACTCCACTTCAATAGACTATTTTACGTCGGACTTCAAACTTCAATTAATTTACATTATCAATTATTATAATATATGTTTTTACTTGTCAATATTTTTTTACATATTCTTTTTTTTGTTCAATTATTGTAGATCACAGACACCTTGTTCTTAATTCATAAAAACAATTCAATCAATTTTTTTATATGCTTTATCTTGCGTCGAGGTTTTTTTTTCTTTTATGGGAGAACATATTCCACGGATTTCAGGTGTTTCTATCAGTATTGCGAGGAATTTTTTTCTTTTTATAATTCAGGGATTTCTGAGTCATGAGTCTGAAGCCAATGGCGGGATTCAAAAATAGTTAGACCAGAGATTTGAATTTAATTCAGGTAAAACTCTGATTTATCAATAGCTTTTGGCAAATGAATCATGACAAATTAATGAATCAGCAACTGGTCGGCGATTGGACGGCGATAGAGAATAAACTAGCATTGGCGATATTATCTGGCAGAATTGCACTCGAGATCTGTTGCGGACTGATAACAGATAAATTCATATCATCATTATTCTGCTAATATCTCCAGAAAAAAAGAAGGAGTATAAAAAGGACAATCGCAACGAGAAAAAATTCATTAACCCAGAAAATTTTCCTCTAAACTCCTCCAGTCCACTGATATTTGCAGAATAATAATTAATGCCAACTCGATTTAAAATTTCATCATTATATCAAATTTTAACCAAAAAATGCAACTTTCTGCGTTCACATCGATTTAGAAGTATCTCAAAGTCTTATCTTGTTTGAAAATTTCAATTTTTGTGTTCTGATAACGCAAGGACGGGTGAAAAGTGTATTACGGCGAATACTAAAATGCAATCGTGTAAATGCGTCATGATATAACACAATAAGCGAATAATTTCTATAATCCTCTCCATTATAATTAATAAATATCTCACCTCGATTCGTTTAGTCGATCTCATTAATAATTAGAAATTTTTATTAACATTTATCCTACTTTGTGGCTCCCACAGGGCGAGTCTATTCTCTTTTCCATTATCTTTCTTTTCATCTATTGCTATTAGATTCATTTCACGGGAGTGAACCAGATGTTTTTTTTTTTCTTCAATTAGGAGCAAAAGAATTGAAGAAGAAAATGTATTGAGCATTTTTTTTGTCGAGCCATTTTCTGGTTCACCCTGACGGTTAGAATCGGTGACCTGATGTAAAAATTTTTTGCTGACAATGTGATGATCTAGCGGGGCTTCCAGGATATATTCTTCAGCCCCTGGAAATGTCGTTTCAAACTGCCGCCGTCGGCCCAGGGGGAGTCAAGATACTCGTCGTCATCGTCTTGCTCAAGTTTCTGCAAAAAAAAAAAATATTCACTCTCAACTACCAATTATTCTTCAATGAAAACGACATGTTCCAGATTTAGCCGCGA